TCGAACCATTTTTTGTTGATTAAATTCACTGTGTATGATTTACCTGGCAGACTTTTTCATCTTCAGAGGATGTTTATGTACTGTTTAACCTCTTATTTGGAGGATGAAAATTTTATTTTTATATCATGGGGTTTTTTTCTGATTAGGAAAATCTCCAGGTTTTACAGGCCAAGAATCCCAGCCTGTGTAGGGCTGTAGACTGGCTGTACACCACGTGCAGCTGGTGGAACTCGAGCCCTCAGCTCTGTTGTTTGCAGCAGATGAACTTTTTTTTTCTTCTTTACTTTTTCTATGGCCTTTGTATAGTATTTCTTGTTAGTTTTATTCTTTAGATATCAAACAAAGCGAAGTCCTAAATTATACAACTGGCAGCTATACATTGACTGGAACCTATGAGGAATTTATATTTTTCTGCTTTTTAAAAATATGTTTACTCTGCTGTCTTGGTCACATTCCAGTGTAACATTCACCATGACTATATGTCTCATTTTTGTTACATCTGCTACTTGTTCCTTTTCATAACAGTGCCTCTCCTCCATGCCAAGTTTTGTTGATAGGATTCTCCCTACATAATACCTGTAGTTTGTAAACAGTTTGTTTAAAAAGATCTGTATTTACTCATCTGCAAAATACTGAATGTGTCTTACTAGTTGGGGGTTCTGAATCTGTCCATATAATGATTTTTCTGTAATACAGAACATGGATTTTAAGAGGAAGCACTGCTCACTGAGATGCAAAGAAATAAACCAGCTGTTTTTGAGATTAGTAAAGACTGAGATCTCAAACCAAAGAGTAGAAAACACAAGAAATACAGGAGGTGATATAGGCATACCAGATTTATTGCATTCCTCTAGATGTATGATGACAGTATACACTATTTTATATATACTTTAATGTATGTATATTATCACATGAAGTTAAGATATATATTAAAATGCCTCTTATTTATATAGTCAATTTGTCAGTCCACGTATATAATTGGTGTATTTTTTGTCCTACATTGTATTTAAAGGTTAATTATTTAGATTTCTGAGGCTTGAGTTCTGAGATACTTGCAAGATTGCCTTCAGCCTTTCCAGAAGACTAGTTTGATGTAGGGGCAGCACTGTTTGAGCCTTAATCACATAGTAAAAAATTGCTTGAAGTTCCTTTGTATCTGTATCAAGGTATTTAAAAAATAAAATAAATTTAAAAAAATCAATAAAGTACGGAAGGTTGTAACCTGTCTGTTTCTATTACAGATTATCCTCATGTCAGGTATAGAATTTGTTTTGAACTCCCCCTCACATCCCAGCAAGTATTATCCATGAGACTGTAAAGCCCTCTTCTGTTGTATGAATTCATCCCTGTTCAAAGCTTGCAAAGGTAAAAGTTTAGCCTCTAATAAATTATGATTTATTAAATAAATTGTCATGAGTTTTCTAGATAAGATTTAATGGACTGCTGAGCACAGAGGATGTATAATACAGCACAATTTTTGTTGTTGTTCCTTTCAGGAACATGACCATCACGCAGGAAATGACCACCTGAGAAAAACCCAATTCTGGTTAATTTGTGCTCTCTGATATTGTTCATAAATCAAAGCATGAGAGCCTAGACTTGGGAGAGGAGGACTAGGCTGACTTTGTGTCCTTTCTAAAGCAATAACTGAGGCAGCTACTCACCCGTGTGCCTATTTCTGTCACATCTTCATATGGTTTAACTGCACTTCTGCCACCTTGGACAACCAAGTGCAAGGAAGATCAGAAATAGAAAGCTGACATGTTTTTGCTTCAGGGACATCATAACAGCAGGAGTTCTGGGACAATTCAGTGAAGCTGTCTAATGAAACTCAATGAAACTGTGCTAGTTAGGATGCTTCATCCTGTCTTTTTATTTTCCTCTCAGTTTGCCAACACAACTAATCCCCACTAATTTGATATCTTTTGGCATTTTGATTTCAATGTTAAGAAACAAAACTGTATTTAAAATTGCTATTGTGATCTCTGCTTTGATATTGAGTCCTTTTGTCATTTGACATAGTGGCAATTCAGTATTCGCACTTCCTAAGAGACATAATCATGTTGAATTACCTCACAAATGTGTTGAAAGGTGTTGAATTATCATGAATAATAGGTTGGACAAAAAATGCCATTAGTTCACTTTCAGGCACAGTTTTATGTGCTATGAAATTCAGCAAACTCCCTGTAATCCCTACTGATGCTCTTTGAACCAAGTTCTCCATCACAGAAACAACAGTGCTACACGGAGAGTTCTGCTCTTAGCTTTGTTCTGTACTAGAGAACAAGTGTTTGAAACTTTGACCAAATTCAGCTGCCAGTTGCCTTAGTGCAGTTTTGGACTTATAAGGTTGCTACAATACTGTTTAAAAATCTTCTGACCCAAATAGTTGAGGATGATTGATATTTTTTAGCATTTTTGTCAGCATAGTGGTAACCATATAGGGAGGAAAAGTAAAAAACCAACCAACAAACAAATCCTACAAAAAAACCCAAGTGCAAATTTCTGAGAAGATGCTTGTAGAGAAGAGCCAGTACATTCAAAGTGAATAAAGTGTATAAACTGGGAAATACCTTCTATTCTAGCATTCCACATAGCCACAGCATATTCAGAATGCACAGGCTAAGTGAAAAGGCTTCTGCTACTTGTCCAAACACTGAATAGCTTGTGAAACCAGAATGGGCAACTGTTTTGGACCTATTAGAATCGGTCCTTAAAATCTGAAAGTAATTGCTTGGCTGGACTGAGAACCTACGAGGAAGTACCATGGTTAGGAATCAGATTTCATCAATCAAAAACCAAGTTTTCCACACAGATATGTCAACAAGGATAGATCTTGCATCGGTGACATTTGAGCAGCTTAACCACTCTGCTGAATATTTCTTTGATTTTGTTTTATGGTAATGGAACCTGACATGCAGATTGCTCCCTATATTTCCGTTTGCTACATGTATCTTGTCTTCCTACAAAGAACACAGCTGACACTGAAGGTAGTTTTCAGTCCCGTAGTAAAAACCTGGCAAATACTTCTGCTAATGTGCACAAAATGTAACACAGCTCATTCCTGCCATGGTTAATTGGGCTCCACAAGACCGAGTGAATGTTGTCAGTACAATATTGTATAACTGCTCCTCAATCTAGAATGGGAATCTAACAAATATCTAAACAGAATTTTTCAGTATCAGACTGGTTAAGAATGTTTTCAGCAATCCCTTTACAAGGAGGATGAAACAGTTTCTATCACATAAAAATCCACATCTGGAAAAGTATAAGCAGTCCCTTTTTTTCCTTTGAATTTGGTCAGCTTTTTAGATGAGAAGGAAGGATGGATTGTCAATACAACAAACAATTCCTCAGTCTTGTGAATTTTATCATTTTTGCACATGTAACATGAGTGGAAATGCTACATTTGCACTTGCCATGGTGAACTGCCATCTGCAAGTGATTTGCTTCTCTGTCACGTGTTGTAGCTGATTGAACTCATGTTACTGCACTTACAGACATGCTTTTAAGAAATACAAATGGCCCCAAGAGATCTCAACACAACAAAAATATTCTCACTAGATCCTACTAGACCTAAATTTATCTCCATGTAAGTACAGGTCCACACCTTCTCTGGCAGCGTGGGCCACAGAGTGCTGAAGTGACAGCAACACTCTAACTGCAGTTGTAGCTCAGGGTGGTTCCACTTGTTTACATTTTCTGTGCCCCACATGCAACAAGCTGTACTTGCACATACATATTATGGCTTGGCAGAGGCAACATTTTCCCCCAGTATGTCCATGGTGTTTAAAATGTAGTCATCTTCTAATAACCTTGCTGTTTTATTAGTATTTGTCATTATATAGCACATGAACATTTCTAAATTTGGCCATTCATTACAGAATCCTGTGCAGTTCTGCCTTCAAACATGTAAACTTCAAACTGTTATAGTGCTAGCACCAGGGATTTTAGTAAACCTCTAATTTTAAAAGAAATCACTGCATGACTTTACTGTGTTTAATATTAGAATACCTGTTAGACAAAGTATGGCCTGGAAAGATCAACTACAAAATGATTTGTGATTATGTGTATCTTGCATAAAAGGGTAAAGGCTGAGTTACGTATTTTATGTTAAACATGTAGTGATTATCCCAAAACTCTGAGGAAAGAGAATCCAAACTACTCTTAAAGAAAGCATAGCTTTTAAGAGATGGAAAAGCACCCATAATTCTCACGACAATGTGAAATTGCTTGAAGATGCACAGCACTTCACCTTCATTAAACTGCTTTTTAAAATAAATACTTGGGGGGGTATTATAATAAAGGTTTCATTACCATTTCGGGGGATGCCGGTGTGGCAGTGCCTGCTCACACGCTCAGCGCAGTTCCGAGCTGGGATCGCTGCCCTCGCACACGGCAGTGGTTGCACTGGGAGCAGCAGGACCGCGCCCCGCCCCGGCGGGAGCGTGTGCTGCTGCCCGCGCACGGCCGCTCTGCCCCGCAGCTCTCCCTCCCTCTCCACCTCCACCCCCGCCACCCTCTGCTGCGCTGAACGGCGGCCAGCTCCGCTGCCAGGACTGCCGTGTGGGGATGAATTACGGCCCTCGGCCCCCGGGCCGGACACCACCCTCAGCCCCCGGGCTGGACATAACCCTCGGCGTGGGGGTGAATTACAACCCTCAGCCCCCGGGCCGGACACCACCCTCAGCCCCCGGGCCGAACACCACCCTCAGCGTGAGGACGAATTACGGCCCTCGGCCCTCGGGCTGGACATAACCCTCAGCCCCCGGGGCGGACGCCCCTCTCAGCTCCCCGCTCCCGCCCCTGGCCCGGCGCGGCCCCTCCCGCCCGGCTCGCGCGCGGCCGCCCCCTGCCGGCGGGCGGGGGCAGTGCTGGTGCCGGGGGAGGCGGCGCCGCCGCCGCGGCCGCAGAGAGGCGGCGACCGCTCCCGCCGGCGGATCGGGATCGCAGAGCCCGCGCCCGCTCCCGCCGCAGCCCCGCCGCTCCCGCCCGGCCAGATGATGAACTTTCTGCGGCGCAGGCTCTCGGACAGCAGCTTCATCGCCAACCTGCCCAATGGCTACATGACCGATCTGCAGCGGCCGGAGCCGCAGCAGCCGCCGCCGCCGCCTCCCGCGGGCTCCTCGGCCCCCGCCTCAGCCTCCCCGGCCGCGGAGCGCCGGCAGCCGCCGCAGCCCGCACCCCCCCAGCAGCAGCCGCCGCCGCCGCCTCCCGCGGGCTCCTCGGCCCCCGCCTCAGCCTCCCCGGCCGCGGAGCGCCGGCAGCCGCCGCAGCCCGCACCCCCCCAGCAGCAGCCGCCGCCGCCGCAGCAGTCGGCGGGCAGCAGCTTCTTCAGCTCCCTCTCCAACGCCGTGAAGCAGACGGCGGCCTCGGCCGGGCTGGTGGACGCGACCTCCGCCGTCTCCGCGGCTGTCGGCAGAAAGTTCAAGCTGCTCCTGGTCATCGACGAGCCGCACACGGACTGGTAGGTGCCCCCGCATGCCCCTCCGCGCCCTCCTCCTCCCCCCGTGTCCTTCCCCCATCCTCACTGCGGTCCCTTCCCCCGCGGATCCTTTCCCTGGCAGGTGTGGGCTCACCTGGGGCGGAGGGACGCGCCTCGGGCCCCGGGGAATGAAGCTGCGGGTGTGAGTGGCCGGGGCGCCGGGCAGAGCCCCCCACACTCGCCGGGCAGAGGACCCTCGCTGCCTGGCCTCGCTGAGGGTCTGGAGCGCAGCGTTACGATCTGGAAGATGGAGCACAAACCAGCGAGCCCCGGAGCGCCTGACTAGCCGTGAAATCTGTTTTCCATCACACAACACTGAATAAAACGTATTTACCGCCCTGACAAAGCATATCCTGTGTTCTCTGGAGAAATAAAGCACCCGTGTGTAGCGGCAGGTAGGATTTAGGTGTTCTGGGCTCGAATTTCTGTGTGGAACTGCGTGAGATTGTAGCGTTACGTGTGTTAATTCGTGTTTACGAGCAGGTTTGTTGTCACGCAGATTCCGCTGCTTCTGTGGCAGCGTCTCAAATGCTCGTTCGGGTGAAGGTCCTTCAGGGTGCTGAGGACCAGCCCTCGGTTCTACCGTAGCCCTTTGAATTCGTGTGGTTAGGTTAATCAACTTGGCAGGTTTTATTTGGGCTGAGTGTTTTGCTTCCACTGTCAGCATTAAAAATGTGGCATTTACAAAACCTGAAACTTGTACATCAGCTCGTTTCTCCTGTGCCTGGCTGGTACCAGCAGGAGAGGTTATGGCTGTTTCAGACCTGTTTATCACGAACGGCTCCAGTGAATGCTGTGGTTTATAGGAAGGACATATTCTTATTAATCCTTCTCTCATTTGTTTCCATGTGTATTTGCACATCAAGCTGTGAATCGTTTCATTCACTCTTGCTAATTACAGTATAGAAGGTCTTAACAGTGCCTTAAAATATTACAGAGTAAAACAAGTATGTTTTTATAACACTGACATCATTCAGTAAGGGATTGTGGGTTTTTTTTTGTGGGAATATTTTATTATCAGCTTCTCAAATTTACAGTCTTACTGTCTAAATGGACTTGTGCAGTTCTATGATTTGATCCAATTTACCCAATTTGCTTTAAAATGCTACTTTAAATAAAATACCTGAAACAAAAATGTAAGCCTTTATTTGTAGCAAATATGTTATTAATGTTAAGATAATATTACCTATTACAATTTTCAGTTTTTTTTCTTCTGTGTTTGGTTTTGTGGTTAGCTGTGTGTGTTGTCTTTTTTTTAAAAAAAAAGATTGTTGTATCTGCCAGACTAAGGCAGGCTCTGTACCTACGTCATGGAGATGCATCCATGGACACTGCTCACTGCCTTGCAGAAACATCTATTTATTTCATATTCTACAGTGCACAGATTTCTGCTTGGGAAATTCAATAACTCTATATGTTCATAATGTTTGTTTCTGAGAGATTTTTTCAATGCTTACTGAAGCCATCCCGTGTATTGTGAACGTGACATTTTTTACGTACTTTATGAATGCACTCCAAATCAACACAATCTGTTGATAGTGGCAGAGCTTTTAAAGCTCTGCATAGTGAGTGCCACCAAGAGCACTCCAGCAGTGACAAATGTGCCCAAGGTTACTCATGCCTACTTGCTTTTGCTTTTTTTTTTTTTTTTAATTTTATTTTTTCCCCTCATAGTATGCGACATGGATACATAATAGTTCTAGAAAGAACAATTTGTTGTACTGGCTCTTTCCTCTCCAAGAAACTAGTAATTTTGTAACTGAAGATTATAAAATAAATTTTGAAAAACATATGTATGATCCTTGTGGGTCCCTTCCAACTCTGGATATATGTGTATTCTCATAATACATGCGGGAGAGTTTGTTCCATACCTTTGGGAGTACCGATGTCCGTATGGATATGCATTGATCTGCTATAGTATTTGACTATAAGGGCTAAAATGGAATATGTGTTATAATTCAGGGGGGAAAAAAGGAAGATTGGAACTGGCAGCAGGTGAGTGTCAGTGTCTGGTGGCTCCAGCTCCCTGCACTGCTGTGCAGTTTAGCAAGAGGAGGTTCGTAGAGCTGCTGTCATGTGATGCACTGAGCAAACCCTGTCAATAACAAGAAAAACAGCACCAAATCATCTCTTAGAGCCTCCTGAGGAACCATTTCAGCTGATTTACGTTAATCCTGAGAGGAAGATCATATGCTGGGTGTTTGTTTTTGTGATGCTTTGATGTTTGTCTTAAATTGAAAGTGTATGTTTTGCTTTTGGATTGCGGTTTCAATAGAAATCAAAGGATTTTGGTCTGGATCACACTGAAATCCTGCTGATTCAGTATCCTCTTTTCATCCAGGGTCAGGGGAAGCATAAGCACCTTCATATGTCAGCAAAGGATATTCTCTCTTACTCTGGCATCAAAGGGACATTTTATTTCTAATATATTTTATTTCTATGAACTATTGACTCATACTTGAAGCCTGAAATTTAGTAACCCAACGTTGTTATTGTGGCTAATGGAATCCTATGGGATATTCTACATAGAAACAAATGCTCAGTTGTTGCTTGCATTTTATAATCTTGATCTCAATGACACCTTTCCTCAATTTCTTGCCCTAAGAGGTTTGTCCTAATGCAAGTCTTGAAAATTACTTTACTTTTATGAGATAGGACAGATTAAAAATTGGGAGAATTGGCTTATCTGTACTAGTTTGTATATTTTTGCTATGTTACCTGACTTCTTAAGGGAAGAGAAAATAAATTGTTGTGTCAAACTATCCTCCTTTCTCAATCCAACACGTTAGAGCTGTGAAAGATAATTATTTTCCTACACATTCGCTGAAACTTGCAGCCATATAGAGGAGAGAGCCCTCTAAGGTCTTCTTCTGAAGGCAGGACTGCAAAATAAGATGATGTCAAAGCCGTTCTACCAACTGTAGCTTTACACGTGCCTCAGTGGCAAGTGAAAGGAAAACAAAAAAACAGACGGAAGGTTGTAGTCAGCTGTCGGAGACAAATCCAGGACAAGTGGTCTTTGTTTGTTCTGGTTCTCCTGGAAGACTTTCTCTTAGTCAGTTTATACAATAAATGATCCTGTTGTCCTAAGGTGGAAGCAAAGAGCCAGCAATCGTTTTCACCAATTATCTTTGAAACTTTCTGTTGTTGCACAACAGCACTGTAAGGAGGAGGTGGCCTGTAACGCAAATACTCCTTCCAATGGAACTGAACTGTTAATTTACATAAGGGCATTGAAAAAGCTGATTTTATTGTCAGGGCTATTCTTTATGCCTTTGAATATGACATCTTTTTCAACTGCAGGTGTGCACTGACCAGACCTTTTCAATACCTTGATGTCCAGAACCCTTTTCTGAGTTGACATATCTGATTAAGAACCCTGCAAAGTATTTAAAGACATAGTGGAAAAGAGCCTGATTCACAGATGCTCTATGGATCTGTTGGCACTGGGGAAAAGCTTCAAGAACCACTTGTTAGGTTTAATGATGATTTGATGTGGCAGAGGACAATGGCTATTTTACAGCTTTAGGGATCTTTGTTGATAGCTTTACAAATGGAGGAAACTAAGAAGTGAAATAATTTGCTCAAGGTCATCCAGGAGACTAGTGACAGAGCTATATTAAAACCTAGACAGCTTGCTTAACCTTTTCTTTTAATTCTCATTTCCTAGTTACTGCTCTGCACTAAATGTCTAAATTTTCAGCTAGATAAGTTTATTTTAAAATGTTTTTCATTTTCTCAGGAAAAAAACATTTTGTTCTGTACACAAAAAGTACTGAATATTCAGTGCTGAACAAGCAATTGATTAAAGGCCATACATCAGTTGCAAGGTGCCAAAATGCTGTGTATAGATTATTATCTTTATTAAAAGCTTATGTGTAATATTTAGAAAGCTGTTTCAATATTGAAAACTAATCATCGCTTTGTCTGTCTCGTGCTTTAAAGATTGAATATAAAACTTGTTGGCAGTAACGATGAAACTATAAAAAGTATCAAGTTGGAAAATTTTTAAGCAGAAATATGGTTAAAAGTATCAGTACCCTTTTTTTTTCCCCCGAGGAGTACACATTTCTTTCAATGTTTACTGCCTTGGTAGTTAGTCATCTTGTGATAGGCCCGAAAGATAATCCCCAAATGGCTGGGACAAATGCTATATGAAAAGCAAACTTTCTGTTTTAAAATGACTGTCATTTATGGGCAAACATTGCTCATCATGAATGTTTTTAATATGAACACTATTGTCATAGTGCAGAAAAACACTGCTTTGTGATAAAAAAATGTAATAAAGTGAGCAGCATGAGTTTCTTAGGGGTTTTTTTTGTGGTTTGCTTGGTTTGGGTTCTGCATTTACTAGAAGGTGGGAAACAGTTTCAATTAAAAATACATGTGTGATTGTTTTATGTAGGATAACTACCAAACAGTTTGCATGAATGTACTGCCATGAGAATTCACTGCAGTCTTTCTTTTCAGTTTGTTCAATGGTTCAGTTGTGAATAACTAATTAGTATTTCCTTACTCCAGTTGGACAAGAATTCTCATTTCTCTGATTGTAACACATTGATTTAGTAAATGCGGTTTTTATTGCGTTCAGTGTAAGTTTTCTGTTAGCAAGTTTTCCAGTTTTAGGAGGTGTCATCTGATTTTAATCATGCATAAATGAGGGTGAGTGCTTTGCCAGAGCACTCTCCAGTCCTCTGGGATGACTCTGAAGAAGGACAGTGTCCTTGCCAGCCTCCTGGAAAGACAGAGCATCCTGCCACCAGGATAAAGGATGGAGCCAGATGTGGAATGGGGAGGGAAAACCAGGGCATGGGTAAACGGGGAACTGCTACTGATTGAAGGGATCCCTTGGCAGGGGCTGAAGGTGAGACGTTTGGAGGCAAGGCCAGTGGTGTTGCAGAGGAGTAAGAAGTCTGCTTTTTAGAAGAGTCTAAGCTCTTAAAACTGACCAAATGGCCAAATGTAGAGTGTAAGGAGAAGGT